GTTACGAATAAAATGTCATTAGTTATATTTATGTAGTGTTACTGAAAATATTAAAAAATTTAATTACGGAACCGAACGGAACCGAACCCGAACTGTTCCATAATTATATTTGGATCCGACGGGTCCATTTTTTAAATACCCGAAAGTTTTGGGTCGATTCGGGTCTCTTCAAAACCGAACCGATCCACGGACAGCCCTACTTCTAAGAAAGAAACCTAAATACAATAGTATATAAAACCCCCGTCAAACTCATGATGTCACGGATCAAGAAATTGTCAAAGGAAAATGAAAACGACAATCAATCTCCATATTTTTCGCAACCAAATGAAATAAATGACATTAGCTGATGCAAACACTAATTCCAAGTGATGTGGGAAAACTTATCAAGGCCCGATGCACAAAAAGATCAGTCAACTTTCTTAAGGGTAATTATGTTTGCACCAAAAATTTTATTTATTCCACAACATTTTAATTGCACTTAAAATTCTTAGTTTTTGCTCATTGTAACATTTATTTCCCTAATGGGTTTTCATGTCATTCTTACCTTCGAACTTTCCATTAGTTAACACATTTTGTATGTGATAACAGTTTTACACCCAAAAGTTTGTTAAAATGACATAAAACAACTTATTTTTTTATCATATTTTTTTAAAAAATAAATAAATGAAAAGTATGAAAAATTATTTTTCCCTCATTTCAAAACATGAAAATAAAATATTTTTATATAGGTCATCATCAAGGACGACACGTGATAATTAATGAAATGTTAAAGATAAGAATTAAATGAAAAAAAATTAAGGAAATAATTGTTACAATTAGCAAAGATTGAGGAGTTTAACTGTAATTAAAATATGTTGTATCATATAAAAATTGTGGTGACAATATAACCACCTTTATCTTAATGTTGCAATGGAGTATTCAAAGGTTTGTGTAGAACCTCAAGAGATGATTTTTTCACAATTTTCAGGGTGCATAACTGTTGATCCTAAGGCTGGTCGAGCGCTCTTTTATTACGGACATGAAGACCCTTGTAGCAAACCTCTAGCGTTGTTCCTATGTCACATCCTCAGCATGCATTTTGTCACGAAGATATTCTTTGTTTAAAGTACCGCAAGTGCACAATTCGTTAATAAGTAATGTAATGAATTTCGAATCCAAGTATCATCCCTAAATAGATTGTACTAGTTTAAATTCGAATTAACTTAACATTATCCGAAATAATAGAAATTTGCGATTTTTTCTATAAATTCAATAATCTACTTATAAATACAAGACCTAACTTAACTAAAATAATTGCAAGATTATAATTAAATGTAAGTTTTATAAAAATATGATGATGAAAAGCGTACTAGGATCCTGAATCTCCTTATATCAATCCCTTTTAATCTCGAACACTATAAATTTGACAACATGATTCAATTATGAAGATCAATGTTTTTAATTTGTTTAACAATTTCTCAATGTAGAATTAAACATATTCTTATATATCATCCGACTATATTTCTATGACGAATACGAACATATAAAAATACGTTAATGAGTTTGTGAATATTTAAAGATCACGTAAAATATAGAGATATATTTTTATCCGATACCGGACTCTACGACAATTGACATTGTGTCTAACTTATTTTCCATCTTTAGAGGGAAAAACAAGCCACAATATTCATACAATTAGTGATCAAGTAATTGTAGAGAAAAACAAATTCATGTCAATCATTCAAGAATTAAAAACTTACTTTGAATGTCAAAAATAAATTAAATCGAGAGTTAAAAGTCCATGATGCAAGGTTCATTGTAATCCTAGCACTAAAAATTATTTAGCTACTCATAATGTTGAAACTAAAGACGTAAACGACTTCACCAAGAATTGACGGAACCGGATTAACATCCAAATTCCTTCCACAAATAAATCTGAAATTATTTCTTCAGCTGCTGCCGTCTGACTTCTCTGCGTGTGAATATATTTTTTCTCCACCACCCTGCTCTCTGCTTTCGTGTGTATATATATTCTCCCACCAAGCTGCCCAATGAGTTTCTTCCTTCAAGCGGCTGCCTTTTGCTGTGTATAGTTTTTTTATATATATATATAATCAATTCAGCCCCCATTGTTTTAGTGAAAAAGGAATCCTTTTTATTCCAATCATCAGCCGCCCAATTGTTTTTTTCCCCCCAGCAGGAGTCCAAGTGGTTTTTAATTGGGCAATTTACAATTACCCTTAAAATTAAGGGTTTTTGAAAAATCATATCAAAAATTTTTCGGAAGTAAAAAAATACTGTATCACTTTTTTATAAAAATGGTCACTTTTTAATATAAAAAAGTTACACAATGCCACTTTTAAAAGTTAAGTGTCACTTTTTTTAATTAAAAAATAACATACATTGTCACTTTTATTAAAAAATGATTTTTTGTCAATAAAAAAAGTTATAGAAATTAAGAAGGTGACTGAAAAAAGTGACAGCACTTAAAAAAGTGATAAAAATTCAAAAAAGTGACATAAATTAAAAGAAGTTACATAAATTTAAAAAGTGACAAACTCAAAAAAAGGACAAAAATTTAAAAAAGTGACAAATTAGAAAAATAAAAAAAACATTAGCAAACATCAAGTGCTTGAATGTACTAACAAAGGTAAGATTCACAAATGATGCTGGAAAGAGTAACATAACATCGAGCCAAATGCTCTAATCACGAGGATAAACAGTACAAACTTGCTGCATAAGCATAATCAAAACTGTGGAGTCCAGGCAAGAGTCTTACATACAGAACATACATAACAGAAATTGCCTAATGAGAGAAAAATGGATAAACAGAGATTTCCTAAGAAATCGGTCCAAGGTAATCGCCCTCAAGGCTCACAACTGCCTGGAAATCCTTCTCAGCCTCAACGTACTTCTCCCCAATCACCACAAAGCGCACGACTACACCTTTCTCAATTTTTGATGATTTATCGTTCCTGTAAAAGGGATTTTCCCCGGACACGTACTGATAGTCAGCCATTTTTTGATGGGAGAGATATATTTTCTCAGTTTGACCGCATCTCAAGAAGACTACATGCTTCAAGATTTTGTGCACAACGCCTTCCAAAATTTCTCCAAGTAAGATCTTGAAGGTAATGCAGCTGAAGTCTACAGGAAAGAGTATGTCTCCCGTGTGTTGTCGAACTTTTCCTTCCCTGATGCGCTCCATGTTAGTTACGGCAAGGAAATAACCCAAAATCATTAAAATCACATGAAATCGCCCGAAATTGGTAGAGAGAAATCATTGATTTAATGTTTGGTTGGGGTTGAATTGTATTCATTTTTCATTTGAAAGAACGTATATTATACAATTAATGAAAGTTTTATAAGTGAAAGGGGGTAGTAGTCAATTTTTCAATTAATGGGACCCGTACGGGACCTAATTATCCCTTTTTAATTTCATTTCAATTTAGCCACTAATTGGTTTAGTCCAATTAGAAAAGAATCCAACAATTGAGGAAATTTCACCAAATACCTTATTTTTAATATGTATTCAAATTATACTACTACATTATTTTTTAACCAAAAATACTGCATTTTGTGTAGTAAAAATAAAAAGTACAAACTTGCTTCTATCATCCATTAAATAATTTCATGGCTGAAATTATTCCTCCAAACAAGCCTCTTTAATTCACCCCCAATTATGGCCAAAATTCCCAAATTTCTTCTCCTTCATCTTTAGGCACAAATTGGAATCACATCAATGGAAAATCTTGGCCCAGGTAACATTTAAAGAGCTCCACAGACATGCTGTACACGTCCAAGAAAACCACTGGAAATTGACCGCTTGCCTGTACGAGCATAAGGTACTAACATGCCAACCAAAAGCAATGTCAATAACTTTGCCAACCAAAAGATCAGCAGCATACAATTCAAACTCTGCCTAGAAATCCTTTCCCCTTTGCTTAATTTCTGCAAATGTTGCACAAGAAGAATCAATTACCACCTCTATTCATCATTCCACGCGCAATATACATTTTTTTGCCACCATTTTGCTTAGCATAGACGTCCAGTGACG